GGGTGTGAATCACAGAGGCCATGAAGAACATCAGCTGCTTTTTTGGTGCACCCAGGCTGTGAATCACAGAGGCCATGAAGAAGAACATCAGCTGCTTTTTTGGTACAGAAGGAACAAGTGCAGAAAGAAGAACATTTTGAGTTGATGCTGCCTATCAGAGACCTTTATGGTGACAGTCATGAGGTGTACAGTGTAACAACCTGGAAAAAGTTTTCAGCAGACTGCGTGTCCAAAATTCTTGTCCGAGCACACACAGAGGTGAATCACAGAGGCCATGAAGAAGAACATCAGCTGCTTTTTTGGTACAGAAGGAACAAGTGCAGAAAGAAGAACATTTTGAGTTGATGCTGCCTATCAGAGACCTTTATGGTGACAGTCATGAGGTGTACAGTGTAACAACCTGGAAAAAGTTTTCAGCAGACTGCGTGTCCAAAATTCTTGTCCGAGCACACACAGAGGAGTCATTAAACAATGGTGTTCATCTGGCCCAGATCCATGATTCTATGTGATAATCAGAATCTCTGATTCCATAGGAAGGAGAGGGATGGGGTTGCAGATAGATCTTAATGGGAAATATTTCTCTTAAGATTTGTAAACCCTTTCGTTAGTTGGTTACATCCTGTCAGGTTGGAACCAACTTACAGTGACCCAAGGTGAATGAAACTCCCATTTAAGGAGTGGTTTTACCAGTTCCACTTGCCCAGTGAGAATCCATGGCCAAGTGGAGATTCGAACCCAGGCTTCTTGAGTCCTAATCTGCCACTCTATCCACTGCACCGTATTTGGTAGCCATTTATAAACCTTTAAGCGTTATCCTTTTCACAAGGTTACTCAATGGCATAAAAGAAACTAGTTCACCATTTTCTCCTGACACACAGATTGTAAAACTGAACCAAAAAAAAAAAAAAAAAAAAGACAGCAGGCCAATAGCTCCTTTTTCTGTGTCGCAGAAGCTATTAAAAGATTGCTCTCCCAAAGCACTAGGGAGTGCTCCAGTAAGTCAAGCTGTTCCAGCAGCTATTAGAAACTAGGGGAGGCCTGGTGCATAATCCACGTTTCCACGGTGCCTGGGCTTCTTGTTTGAAGAATAACCAACAAGCAGTGGGGATGGGGGTGGGGAAACAGAACAGCGAGGACAAAGCAGGTGTATCCCAGATGCCTGTCACAGGCACAACCTTAGAGGCTCATGTTACACACACACACACACACACCCCTCTCCATCCCCCCCCCCCGTGGCTTGCATGCAACATAGACGTCAGGACCACAGGCTCTCACTGTTAAGCACAGACGACAACCATAAATTAAACAGACCAGCAGTGCACACAATACACCAAGTTAGGGCCATGTCTTATCAGATGCAAAAACTGTAAATCTGAATGGACAGGTTTAAAACACACACACACACACACACACAGAGAGAGAGAGAGAGAGAGAGAGAGAGAGAGAGAGAATGAATGCAAAGGCCTGTTTGGACCACTTAGAAGGACTGTCTGGAATTGCAGGGAAAAGGAACACAGAAAGAACCGGATTGGGCTTTGATATAGGAAACCACAGAGGGATGGGAAGGCAGGGGGTGGGTGAATCTAAGCAATGATGTTCAAGAGAGGAGCTGGGAAAAAAAATATTACAAAATCTTAATCTGTCCAGGGAGACCCTCTAGGGGAAGGGAAGGGATCTTTCAAAAGCAAAAAGAAATTGCCTAATTAGATAATTTTTTTTTAAGAAAAAGGGGGGAGGGTAATTGCCTTCATGTGCTTTCAAAGGCAGCTTAGCAACCTTTTAATGTACGCACACACTGTGTGTAATGGCACAACCTCTCTGAAAGAGGATTTTATACCTTCCCAAAGAGCTCCTGACAGTAAACTCCCAGCAATACAGATGGGGGCGTAATGGACACTTGGGTGTCGTTAGTGAAAACACTATTCAAAGTTTGCTGGTCAATACGTGTTCACATAAAAGGGCGGTGTTCTAATATTCATAATCCCCAAACCCACAGGGCAGGGTTTTAATGAAAGTCTGTATAGTTCTGGGCCCTGCAACATCAAAAGAGTCAATAAATTAAAATACAAACCCACCTCCTACCCTGTACGGAGAGACAAAAAGCATATGGTAAGTGCTGAATGGGGGAAAGACCCAGCCTAGTTATGGAAATGGCTTGAGCAAGCAAACCCATCAATTAAAGGGGTGGGGTGAAGAGGAGGGGGCCAAAATCAGGAACATGCTAAAAACAAACTGCATGCTGCCTGACAAGAAAAGTCCTCTCTTTCCACAAGAGGCTCGTGTAAGAAATAGGAAACAGATGTGGCTGAGGGAAGGTTCCTTGGCAGTAGAAAGGCAATACTTCAGCCCATATACACTTCAGGCTACAATCGGCTGAAGCCCTCCTAGGGTATGATGCCACTCCCAGCATGCCTTGAGAGCTGAGTTCACTATCTAACAGTTTTCTTAACGGCCAATTTTCCATACCATTTCAAATAAAATAAATTTATTGTCATTGTAAGTCTATACATAGTATGCACATACGAAATTTCACACAGACACCCAGAGACCAGACCCACACGCACACACATAAAAATTTCCCCTCATGTGGGGCTGAGGGAGCTTTCACACCTATGGCTTAGGTGGAGTGGGGCTTCCATCAACTCTGGCCAGGGACATTCCACTTGTTCTACCTGATGAAAGGGCTGAAATTCTGCTTTTGAAACAAGGAACTAGTGACTGTCATTACTTTAAGAACTCTACTATTAGGGCAAAGAGAACATCTTCAAAACTGGAAAGCTAGCATGATGTTGTGGACAGATCTTTGGACTAGCACTCAGGAGACATGGGTTCAAACACCCCTTTGGCCATGAAGCTCACTGGGTGACCTTGGGCCTGTCACATTTTATTTCAGCCCGATTTACCTAACAGGGCTATAGTGAGGATAACAGTGGAGAGGGAGGTAGAGATGCTCTCATAAACTCCCAAGAGGAAAAGCAATGCAGCAAATTCTTCCTAGAAGCAAAAAAATGACACAATTGAGGCTAGCATACTTTGGGCACATCATGAGATGGGAAGACTCATTAGAAAACACAACAAAGCTGTGGAACATTGAAAAGAAAAGATGAAAGCTAAATAAAAGATGTATTTGCTCAGTCAAGGAAGTCACAGCCTTGAGGTTCCAAGAGTTGAGCAAGGCTGTAGATTATAGGCTTTTTTGGAGGTGACTGGAAGACAGGAGGGCCTGGGTGCTCTGGTCCATGGAGTCATGAAGAGTCAGACATGACTAAACAACTAAACAAAGTTGTGAGGAAAATCAGAAAGGATTTTCTATTTGGTGTTCCCCAGCCCCACATCTAAGCAGGAGACGTAGAAAGGCCTAAGATAACATCTGAAAACTAAGTCCACGCAGGAATATCATTGTCAAACCTTTAGCCTGGGGTAAGCAACTTTGACCCACAATCCCCACTATGCCCAGCTATCAGGACCCATGTCAGAGATGATGGGAGGGCATGGAGCTGCCTATCCTGCCCCAGTATCTGAAAAGTACAGTACTGCAGACTGCAGCAGGGATGCAGCAAAAGGCTCCCAAGGAACAGAAGAAGGAGTGGGGAAACTTCAGCCCTTCAGATGCATTCAGCTCTCACAGCCCTTCACTACGGGCTCTGCAGAGCGGGAGCTGTCGCTGTCAGAATTTCTGGAAGCCCACAGGTCTTGACCCATCCCTTGACTCAATCCTTCCTTGGCTGGCTTCTGTTCCAAGTCCTCGCAATGATACTTCAAGTCACTTGAGAGCAACACAAACATTCCAGTCAAATAATATGCAGAGAGGGAAAGAAAAAGAACACAGCTTGAATGGAGGGGGCAACAGAGGGGCAGCGGACACCTGCCTGAGATGGCCTTGTGAGGTGGGGCTGCTGCTGTGCTGCTGGGCCATAATTCCATCAGCCATCTTAGTAAACAAATAATAAATAACAACAAGCTGGTAAACAAAGCTGAGATATAATTGTAGGCCCTGTCAGGACTAAAAGTAGCCGGAATTGATGTCCTAGACATTTTAAAGGGGGGGGAGGGGGGAGACAGAAAGGAAAGGAGCAAGATTCATATAAATCTACATAATTTTTGAATATGATGAATGGGGCATGACTGAAACCTTGGAAAATACATTACCAGCTCAGAGAGTTGAAGCAGTAGAGTTTTGGCTGCCAGTGCATTTCATACAGGTGGCCTGGATGTTCTCTATCCAGATGTCACAGGGCAGTAGTTCCCAACCTTGGGTATCCAGATTTTATTGGACTAAAACTCCCAAAAGCCATCACCACTAACGGTGCTGGTCAGGATTTCTGGGAGATGATCCCTAAGAACATCTGAGCACCCAAGGCTGGAAACCACTGTCAAAAAGAATCTTTAAAGGCACTTGTGTAGTTCCCAATTAAATTCACTAGGGGCACTGACGTGGTGGCGCTGCAGGCTAAACCGCAGAAGCCTGTGCTGCAGGGTCAGAAGACCAGCAGTCGTAAGATCGAATCCACGCAATGGAGTGAGCTCCCGTCGCTTTGTCCCAGCTCCTCGCCAACCTAGCGGTTTGAAAGCATGTAAATGCGAGTAGATAAATAGGTACCATCTTGATGGGAAGGTAAAATGGCGTTCCCCAGTCACGCTGGCCACGTGACAACGGAAACTGTCGTCGGACAAGCGCTGGCTCTACGGCTTGAAAAACGGGATGAGCACCGCCCCCTAGAGTCAGACACGACTGGACTAAAAATGGCAAGGGGAACCTTTACCTTTACCTTTAGGGGGCACCGAATACTACTGCCTTTCTATGTTGCAACCCTCCTCCTCCCCCAAATAATGGATTTCTAAAAAATGATCCCAACAAATATGTGGGGTGACAGCCAATATCTTTGTCTGAAAACCTGTTTTTGCTGTGTAAGGGATGCAGCCACATCCCAAATATCTGGAAGACATGGTGCACACAAGGTATTTTCTGGAACATGGCATACCAAGAACATGGCACATACCTGCCATTTGGACAGAGTCCTGGTCCAACGCTTTCTCTATTTCTCCTGGCAGCTTTCCGGGTTCCAGCACTTCTACTTTTGCTGGTACATCTTGAGTTGCTGATAAGGTGGTGTAGGTGCTAATGAGCAAGACTCCCAAACCGATCCATAATATGAGCTGTGCAAAAAGAATTTCAGATCCTTTAATGCCAAGTTTGAAGAAAAGCAAAAAATGTAATGGAGAAGGAGCGGGTGGGGAGTAGGAAAAGCGGGGGGGGGGGGAA